CCCCCTGGGGTGTGGTCTCAGTTGGTAGGCCTTCTTGTAAGATAATGCAAGAATGCAGATTTGATGTCAGATGTCCCGATGTTTAGACATCGGCAGCTATAAGCTTGATTAGACCCTTCCCCCTTGGCCTGTGACTTTGAGTCCAGGCAGCAAGGGCGTGGTGAGTGTGTGGGTTCAAATCGCTGTCCCCCACTGATGGGAAAGGCTCGTTTCTTCATCAGGGTTCAGCTGGTTCTCCTTTACCTCTGCTCCAGATTAGTCTTTCCTGCTTTGACCAGATACGAGCAGGTTGGCAGCGTTATCGATTAAGAAATTGAGTATTGATTCTGTTAAAACTTAAGTGACACAAAGTCACCAGAGGAGAGTCATAACTGTTAGAAGACAATGACAAATCTGGATTTGCAAATTCTGTAGGTCTTGGTCTTCATAACCTTCAGGGAGGTGAGCACTGTGCAGGTCTGTCCCCATGTCACAGACAGAGAAAAACCCTCTAGGCTTAGAGGGTTGGTCACTTGTCAGAGGATGTGCACGCTGGGGGCGTGGCAGGCACAAATGACGAAAACAGCAGCAGCTACATTTGCCTGCATGTCTCGTGCTAATGCTGAGTGATACAGTCGGCCCTCTGTATCCACAGGTTTCATATGCAGGGAGGAGTCACCAACTGTAGATGGAAAGTATTTGGGGGGCTGAGTCGGGAGAAAAACTTAGCAGGTTCCCAAAAGCAAAACTCGAATTTGCTGCGTGTGCCGAACGTGGCTCTGAATCCGTGTGCGTGAAGTGATGCACAGGCACACCTTGCTGTCACCTGCATGCGAATACTGGAGCGTCCATGGGTTTTGGTGTCCACAGGAGTCCTGGGACCAATCCCCCAGGGCACCACGCGACCACCGTGCCTTATTAGGACCCCTCCTCAGGAGAAGGAGCCAGACATTTTATTACTGCTGTTCCTTTCGTTATTGCTGTTGGTACGGCTCCTGAACTCATTTCAACCTTAGAAGTTCTTGGTGCTTGCAAATGTGTTTCTGCCCATGAAAATAATCCTGAGTACATGAACCCACAGCTTTCTTGCTCACTAAGTGAATTCACAGGGCTCAGTGGAGTGTGTGTTTCACAACCTATGCGTTTAAGGAGCCTTCAGACGCTGTTACAGTGTTTCACTGCAGACCAAACCAGTCTCTGCAGGTGGTGGCTTAATGCGCAGGAATAGTTTCTTCTCCCTGTTAACCAGGTATGGGCCAGTTAGTGTACTTTTTAGTGTAAGGGTGGCATGATGGCTTTTTTTGTGACATATTCTTTAGCAAGCTAATTGTAAGGTCTTCGCACCGTTACTTGAGGTGACAGATGGAGGGCCTCAGAGATCACAATCTCAGTTATTAAGCAAAGTTGTGGTTATACCTGGAAGTACAGTGATGGATCCTGAGGTGTAATTTCATAGTAACGACACTTCAGTAGATTGGTGTGGTAACAGAATGCATGGGATTAAATGATGAGTTATAAAGAGTTTGTCTGAAGTTAACATACCAAGGTAAGTTTTCAGGATTAGCTTTTGGGAGATTAGCTGAGGAGGGGCTGAGCGGGGGTGGGGGGCTCTGGGGGCTGATGGGAGAAGAGGACAGTTAGATAGGAGGGTCCGTCCCATGGAATCACATCTTTGTGGTCCAGAACGTTTTCCTGGATGTTGGTGAAATAGTTCGGTTCCTGAAGGCCACTGACATTTGCTGAGTTGGTAGACTTGGTTCTTTTCTTTAGGGCCATATTCACTGTTCCTTACTCAACCACATCCATTAAGATTGTCAATGAAGCTTTTGATAATGTATTGCAAAATACGTTTTTCACAAAGACGTCTTTGTGGTCGTTTTCCACCAGCGGGGCACGAATGTGAGGTTATGGGAGGGTTCTCCTTAGCCAGGGGCACCCATGTCCGTAGATGGTTTTTGCTCAGAGACACAGGGTGGAGAACAGCATATATTAGTGTTGTTCCTGCATCTTGTTCTACTGAGAAAGTGCCTTCTGTGTGGGACACACAGCAGCTAGCAACACCTTCATGTTTTCCTCCACATCTCGGAGTCGTTTTCTGATGCTACGTTCAAAGAATATCTGTGGGAGATCACTTTTCACTTGACCAAGTTTTAGTCTCCTTTCACCCCGGGAGGATGAAGTGCCAGATGCTCTCTCAGGGAAGAGTGATGATTTTAATCAAAGCCGCTGACGGCTGCTGGTGGCTGAGTGCCTTTCCTGTTGCGCACACTTTCACCAGATGTGTTTCACACGCATCGTGCACTAAATGCTGTACAGAGTCACGCTTTGAAGGTGTAGTCAGTACTGTTGAAAGTACGAGTTGAGAAAGGTGAGGATAAGGGTGAAAGCTGGTGATTCACTCCCACGAGTCACTTGGGTAAATGACTTCACATTCACACTCCTCCCCTGCACATTGGATCTGTGTTCTCTGTGTCCTGCAGGGTCCTGCTCGCGCCCCTCTCAGTGTGTGAGCTCTGAGGAGAGGAGGCACGTTGTTCTGCAGATCCTGAGGGCCTGGCAGGGGGAGACAGATGCTCAGGAGACGTTCAGAGGCCTTCAGGCTTTGCCTATAGCCTTTCCAAAGAGCTGCCTGAGAACAGTCACCTGTCCAAGGAAAAGACCCTCCAGATACGTAGTGGTGACAGGGAAGGTCTAGCTCAGCACAGGCTTGGCAGGGAGCCCAGGTGGCATTGAACCTTCAGGCAGGACTAGTCCATGTCAGATGTACTGTCAGTGTCAGTTCACATGGGAATTTCAGGCTTATACATGAACAAGAGGGTGAAATAATAGCCCAGTCATTTTCATACTAGTATATGTTGAGATATTTTGGAAACAATGGGTAAAATGTAAAAAAAAAAAAAAAGGCATTGGGGTAAAAATCTCATAAAATTTATCAACTTAACCTTTTCTAAGTGTACAGTTCCGTAGTGTTAAAAGTAAATTCACAATGTTGCACAACCAATTCTCAAAACTTACTCATTAAATGGGATCCTACAGAATTTGTCCTTTTGTAGCTGGTTTATTTTACTCGGCATAATGCCCTCAAGGTTTATCCATTTTGTAGCTGTGTCAGAATTTCCTTCCTTTTTAAGGCTGGATGGTATGTGGAGACCACATTTTCTTTAGCCATCCATCCGTCGCTGGGCATTTGGGTTGCTTCCCTCTCTTGACTATCATGAATAATGCCATTAAGAGCAAAGGTGTGCAAATATCTCTTCGAGATCCTGCACTCATTTCTCTTGGGCATGTTCCCAGTGGGATTGCTGGGTCATAGGGTAGTTCTGGTTTCAGTTTTCTGAGGAATGTGGCTGCCACATTCCCACCAGGTGCACAGGGTTCCAGTTCCTCCACATCCTCACCAACATGGGTTATTTTGGGTTTTTTGACAGTAGCCATCCCGAGGGATGTGAGGTGGTATCTCATTATGGCTTTGATTTGTGTTTCCCTAAGGATTAGTGATGTTGAGTATCTTTTCATGTGTGTGTTGGCCATTCAATAAAATGTACTTTTGATGTTAATCTTACGTGTTTCTTTTTACTTTTTAAGCATGGCTACTAGCAGAATGTCAAATGCGACCCGGGGCTGGCTTTGTGTGCCAGCTGGACGGGCGGGCCCTGCAGACGGAGGAGCCGGCCTCTGCCGTGGTGCCTTAGCAGCCGGACCTGACTCTTCCCACTCACATCACATCATTTCCATGAAACTTCCTCCTCTGGTGGCTTTTGTTGACTTAGGAGAGTGAAAGTAATTAACCTCATTTTATAAACATCTTAAGTATTCATAAGCATAGGCGTATGCATTTCATTTTACCTCTTTAAACCCATGGTACATGCAGGCTTTGAAAAGGTGGAAGGTGGGATGGTTTGGTTCCTCGGGCCCCTCAGGGCCACCCTGGAGCCTGGGATAGTCTGCTTTGTGAAGACTCAGATCCTGCCTTCACTAGTGTAGACTCTTTGTAGGTCCCGAAGGGGATAGAAAGTGACGAAAGTTTTCTTTACTGGTTCCAAATAAAATTTAGTGATTGATAACTGTGTAGACAGTTTATATCTTTTTTAAAAACACCCTTTATTTTGAGATAATTATAGATTCCCATGCACTTGTAAAATATAATGCAGTGCGCCTGTGTAACTTTTACCCAATTTCCCATCGTGACAATGCCTTGCATAGCACTATAGTGTCCACAGCCCATAAATGGCTTTGGTAGAATCCAGCTACCTTGTTCCGATTTTACCAGTGGGTGTGTATTAACTTCAGTGTGATTTGTTACACACATGGGTCTGTGTCACCACCGCCACGATCAAGATCCTGAGTCGCTTCATCCCAAGCCTACTCTTGGGCTTTTATAGCCACAGCCTCCTCCCTCCCGGTCCCTGACCGCTGACAAACACTGATCTGTTTTACGTACCTACCCTGTCATTTCACGTGTGCTGTAGAAATAGCATCACACTCTCCGTGAGCTTTTGGGTTTGGCTATTGTTACTCGGCGACATTCCTGTGATCCACCCGAGAGCTGTGTGCCAGTGGTGGCTTGGTGGTCATACCTGAGGAGTACCCCACAGTGTGGGTGCACCAGTGTTCCTGTGGGTCTGTCAAAGACCTGTAGCTTGTCTTTCACCCTCTTCATCGAGCGAAGGTTTTTACTTTCGATGCAGCCCAGTTCATCGGTTTTTCTTTTCACGGGTCATGTTTCTGGTGTGCAATCTTCATCAAGCCCCAGGTCCCAAAGACTTTCGCCTCGTCTCTTTTTTCTAAAGGTTTTGTAGTTTGCGAATGACATTTAGATCTGTGATTCACATTGAATTAATTTGTGTGTAAGGTGTGAGGTTTAGACCAGTGTTTGTTCTTTCCAGCACCGTCTCTTAACAAGGTTATCCACTGTCCGTCTAACTGCTTTTGTACCTTTGTCAGAATCAGTGGGCACGTTTGTGTGGGTCTGTTTCAGGATTCTGTTTTGTGGTCCTCCGCCAACACCACACCGCCATTACTGCTGTGGTTATATGCTAGGCCATGGTAGTAGAGTGACGCCTCACTTTTTATTCAGTATTTTCCAAAATTGGTTAGCCTGTGCCCTATGCCTTCTCGTGTAAATTCTTGACTAAGCTTATTTGTGCCTTTAAAACCACTGCTGGGCTTTTGATAGGAATTATGTTAAAACTACAGATCAGTTTAGGGGCAAATGTCCATCTTTAGTATGTTACATCTTCCAATCCATACACAGACAGGTTTCTCTAAGTATTTAGGTCTGTAGGTTTTATAATTTTCAGCATGCAAGTCTTACACATGTTTTGTTAGATTTCATTTACTTTGGAGCAGTCATTCGTGGTATTGTATTTTTAATTTTTGTTTCCACATGTTCACTTTTCGTATATAGGAATGTAATTCATTTTTGTGTGTTGATCTTGTGTCCTGCAGCCTTGCTGAACTCATTAATTCTAAAGGTTTTGTTTGTAAATTTCTTGGGCATCCTATCTTGACAGTCATGTAATCTGCAAATAAAGACAATTTTATTTCTTCCTTTCTGACCTCTGTGCATTTTATTTCTGTTTGCACTGCGGGGACTCGTAGTGCTGTGTTGAGTAAGAGTGGTGAGAGCAAACATCCTTGCCTTTTTCTCAGTCACAGAAGGAGAACTTCTAGTCTAACCATTAAGTACCCGGTTAACTATAGGAATCTTGTAGATGCTTTTTAAAAAGATGAAGTTTCTCTTTATTTCTTGATTACTGAGTTGTTTTTTTCATGGATGGAAAGGGTGCTAGATTTTGTAAAATGTTTATTCTTGCATGAGTTGATATGGTCATATGAGTTTACTTAATGTGAGTCTTTGTTCAGGTGCATTATTACATCGCTTGCTTCTCAGCATTAATTACCTTGCATGCCTGGGACAAACTCTACTTGGTCGGGGCAATTTTTTTCATACATTGTGTGCGTGTGTGCGTGTGTGTGTGTGTGTACGTGTACGTGTGTTACTGCAGTTGAGTTGTCTCCGACTCCTGGTGACTCCACGAATGAGCGATGTCCTCTGTGTCCTAGACTGGCAGCCCCGCCCAGCAGCTGTAGACTCAGGCCTGTGGCTTTGTTAATGGAGTCTATCCTTCTCGTATGTGGCCTTCCCCTTCTCCTGCTGCCTTCTGTTTTTCCCAGCATTATTGTCTTCCAAAGAGCCTGCCTTCTCTTGATGTGCCTGAAGTAGGACAGCTTCAGCTTTGTCATACGTGCCTCCAATGACGTTTCAGGCTTAATTTGCTCTAGGACCCACTTGTCCATCTTTTTGGTGGTCCAGGGTAACCATAGAGCTCCCCTCCAACACCGTGTTTCAGATGAATTCCTTGTTTTCCGTCAGCCTTCTTCCCTGTCCAGCTTTTGCGTCTGTACCTATTGATTGGGGATACGAGGGCGTGGATGGTCTCAGCCTGGACTCTAATGACGCATCTTTGCCCTTGAAGATCTTTCTTAATTCTCCCATCGCTGCCCTTCCTGGTCTCAGCCTTCTCTTGATTTCCTGGCTGCAATTTCTATTTAAACGGATGACTGACACAAGGTGAGCAAAGTGTATAACAATTTCCGTCTTCGTTGTCTAGGCTGAAGGTGTGTGTTGCTTCTGTAGTCTTGGTTGTCATCTTCTTGGTGCTCAGATGCAGTCCTGCTTTGACTCTCACTTTCATTAGAAGTTGTTTTAAGTTATTGGTTATTTTCCCACCAATTTCCACTCTTCCTCTGCCTCCGGCCCCTTTCTTCCTTGCCGACTTTCTGTCTAGTAGTTCTGTCAGTTGTGAGTGCAGTGTTGAAATCACCAACTATAAGGGTGAATTTGTCTTTTTCCTTTAAAGTCCATCAGATTTTGCTTCATGTGTTTTGAGACACTGTCTGGTGCTGAGAATCGTCCTGTCTTCCTGCTTAATTGATCCTTTTATCATTGCTGTAAAAGCCTCTTTACCTGATACTGATGTAGTCACTCCTGCTTTTTGTAAAAAACAAAAAAACAACTGTGTTAATGTTTACATGGTGTAGTTTTCTCCATCTTTTCACTTGCAACCTACATGTGTTGTATTTGAAGTAAGGTTTTGTGGGCGGCATATTTTTACATAACTTTGTTTTATTTACTCTGCCAGTTTTGTCTTTTAAATACTGTATTTAGACCATTTACATTTAAGGTAATTGTTGATATGTTAGGGCTTAACTCTGCCATTGTGTTATCTTTCTGTTGCTTTTGTTTCTGTTTCTCTGTTTCCTCTGTCTCCTTTTTTAAACCTTACTGTGGGTCTGAACATTTTTTAAGAGTCCATCTTGATTTGTTTATAGTGTTTTTAAATATATGACTCTCTCTAGTTTTTTAGTGGTTTTTCTAGATATTACAATAAACAGATGTAACTTACGTAATCCACTGGTGTCAGTGGTATCAACATGTTTTAACTTCAGCTGTAGTGTAGACACCTTACTTTCCTCCAGGTCCCCTCACCTGCCCCACTTTTCAGATACAATTGTCTTAACTATTTCCTCCATGTACATTTAGGAAGCTCACAAGAAGTAGACTAGTTTGTTGTTACTACTCCCATTTTTCCCCATTCCATTTTTTTTCCTGGAGTTGTAAGCCTGTTACCATTTCTGTTTAGAGGACTTCCTTTGCTCATTTTCTTTTTTTTTAAATCCTCACCTGAGGATATTTTTCCATTGACTTTTAGAGAGAGTGGAAGGGAGGTGGAGAGACAGAGAAAGAGACACATCGATCGGTTGCTTTCCGCACGCACCCCAACGGGGGCCAGGGATTGAGCCCACAACCAGGGTACGTGCCCTTGACTGGAATTGAACCTGCAACCCTTTACTCTGAGGGCTGATACTCTAACCACTGAGCACCCATCTAGGGCCCTTTGGTCATTCTTTAGTGATAGGCCTACTGGCAAAAACCCTCTTAGTTCTCCTTCATCTGAGAATGTCTTCATTTCCCTTTTATTTTAGAGGACATTTTCACTGGATATAGAATTTGCCATTGACAGCTTTTTGTTGTTGCTTTTCAGTGCTTGAAAAACATGTCACTTCCTCCGGCCTTCACAGTTTGCGATGAGAAATCTTCCCTCTGTGAATTGTTGTCCTATAAGTAATGTGTCATTTCTGTCTGGCTGCTTTCAAGGTTTTTTTCTTTGTCTTTTAGTTTCCAGAAATTCAGTTATGATGTCTTACCCTTGATATCCTTGGGTTTATCCTTTTTGGGGTTCACTCAGCTTCTTGAATCTGCAGTTTTATGTTTTGTGCCAAGTTTGGGAAGTTTTTAGCCATTATGTCTTCGAACAGTTTCAGTTTCTCGCTCTTTGGGGATTTTGTTGTAGTTGGTTATACCAGGTCCCTAGACTGTGTTTTTTCACTATGTTTTCTCTCTGTTCTGATAGTAAATTCTGTCAGTTTGCTCTCATGTCCACCGATTTCTGTCCTTTGTCACTTTTACTCTGTTACTGAGCCCGTCCAGTGAGGTTTTTTTAATTGTATTTTTCAGTTCTAAATGTTTGGCCTGCTTCTGCCAGGTGAGGCGGAAGTTCAGATTCCCCGCCTCAGCCTCGCTGGTCCTTCGTTGCACTGCTCCGTTGTGTCTGCCTGGGGCGTACACTCAGCTCCCCAGCCCCTATTAAATCCTGCTGGGGAGAAACGGGGGGGGGGGGGGGG